TTAAGTCCCCTCTCTCACTCCATTACTACATTCTTCCACTCTCTCTTATAAACCCATCAATTAATTCTCACCCACTTATCAATCCATCATTAATGTGTAGGGTGTGATTTTGGTGGATATTCATCACTTTCTTAGCAATTGAAGGTATAATTTTGCATTTTACTTAACTATATACCAAGTTTATAGCATTAATTTCTCATTTTATTCATGACAATTATTTGACATTGTTATTCATGAATTTATAAAAATTAGTTAAATTTGTTATATTTGATGAAATGCTAGTTAAATGGGGTTTTAGTCAACCACTCATTAATGTCACATAATTTCACATTATTATTTCACATTAATTATTTCACATTATTATTTCACATTAATTTCTCATTATTATTCATGAATTCATAAAAATTAGTTAAATTTGTTATATTTGATAAAACTTTAGTTAAATTTGATTTTAGTCAACCACTCATTAATTTCACATAATTTCACATTATTATTTCACATTAATTTCTCATTTTATTCATGAAAAGTATTTCTCAACCACTCATTTTATTGTTAGTTAAATTTGATTTTAGTTGTCTATCTTGGATGAAATTTTTCTTAAATTTGTTTATTTTTGGTGACATACATAGATGGATGAAGAATTGTATTGTGCATTGATGGATTTTAGAGGAAATAATCACTTTTAAAATTAAATGTCAATGGGAGTTACAATGATTTGGCGGTTGAAGTGCAAAGTCTAATTTCTTGTAGTGCAAGCATGATACACTTGACTTATAAGGTACCCCACACACAAGAAATTTATGTGCGTGTATGATTTCCTGACCGTTAAAGTAGATTTGAATGACCGCACATGCACTTGTCGTGAATGGCAAGTTGTCGGGCTACCTTGCAAACATGCGGCTACGGTAATTCGACAAAATAACGACATTCTTTACTTCTATATTTCTCACTACTTTAGTGTGGAGACATACCGCAAATGCTACTCCTTTCCTATATACCCAATTCCTGGCGGTTACAAGCCATATGTAGATGGTGAAAATATGATGATTCGGCCGCCGATAACATCAATTCTTCGTGAAAGACTAAGAACAAAGCGCATTCCTTCAAGATTGAATCTCCATAAAGAGTTAAAATGTAGTATATGTCAACAGTATGATCACAACCATAGAACATGTAGACAACCTATTACAGACTAGATATATTCTAAGCAAAATATTACAAACATGCATGAGTTTTGTGTTATAATTTTGTGAAAGTGGCATGCTTTTGGATCAATATAAGACATGTTTTCGTCATAATTTTGGATGTAAGATATGTGTTTGTTATGTGTTTTGTATGATTGTTTAGTTATGTGATACTTTTGGATCAATGTAAGACATGTTTTCGTCATAATTTTGGATGTAAGATATGTGTTTGTTATGTGTTTTGTATGATTGTTTAGTTATGTGTTTGGTATGACTTGTGCACGAGTAAACATGCTACACTTATAATTTATCACGCTACACATTTAGGTTATCACGCTACACTTAGAGTTTATCACGCTACACTTACAGGTTAGAACGCTACACTTTGAATATATCACGCTATACTTACAGTTTATCATGCTACACTTACAGTTTATCATGCTACACTTTCAGTCTATCACGCTACACTTTTAGGTTATCACGCTACACTTTGAATTTATCATGCTACACTTTTAGTTTATCACGCTACACTTTCAGTCTATCACGCTACACTTTCAGTCTATCACGCTACACTTTCAGGTTATGATGCTACACTTTGAATTTATCACGCTACACTTTCAATTTATCACGCTACACTTATAGATTATCACGCTATACTTATAGTTTATCATGCTACACTTTTAGTTTATCACGCTACACTTACAGTTTATCACGCTATACTTTCAGTCTATCGCGCCACACTTACAGTTCATCACACCACACTTACATTTTATCACGCTATACTTACAAGTTATCACGATACACTTACAGTCTATCACGATACACTTGCAGTCTATCACGCTACACTTGCAGTCTATCACACTATACTTTTAGTTTATCACGCTACACTTACAGTCTATCACGCTACACTTACAGTCTATCACGCTACACTTATAGTTTATCACGGTACACTTTCAGTTTATCACGCTACACTTATAGTCTATCACGCTACACTTTTAGGTTATCACGCTACATTTTGAATTTATCACGCTACACTTTTAGTCTATAATGATTCACGCTACACTTTCAGTCTATCACGCTACAGTTACAGTTTATCACGCTACACTTATAATCAAAGAGAAATTTGCATACAAGACCAGACTTAGTTGCACTCATAAAATTGCACAAGAACAAAATGGCACTCACAAAACTTTCAGAGTATCTACTTCCCTAGTGTTACAAACTCTAAAATTGCACAAATTTTCACAATAACAAAATTGCACTAACAAAACTTTTATTATCTACTTTCAAAGTCTAACAATCTGAAACAATATGTTACAAATCAAACTCTAAAATTTAAAGATACAAGCAATGCTCTGAAGCCTCTACAGGAAAAATGCGCCATGCTCGAGATCACTTCTATGGAACCTCATATCTATTATAGATCCTCCCATCAGAAGACCCGTAATTCTCCTAACATCTTCAACACCAAAGGAGGTCCATTTTCCTCCAATTTTGAAACTACTTTTTTCAACATCAAATACTTCCAACAAACAATCCACTAAAAGTGGTTGCACTGGAACATCAGGAACATCCAAATAGCCATAGAATGGCCTATCTTGAAGGGCTATCCAATGATCCTCCGACAATATAGAAAAAATATAATTTTGAAGAAGGTCCCAGAAGTAGCCAACATTGGATGAAATTCTCACTTCTTCCATAGTGTATGATTTTCTGCAACCAAAGTAAAACATAAGCCAACTTTAGTATCATATCAATATTATACTTTTTTCTTAATTAAAACAAACTGTAAAGACTGAAAAATATAAAATAAACATATTGCTATCTCCCCTATACTAGGTGGTTAAAAGATCAATGCCTTTCTAAAATAGGATTTGGAAGAGAGACAACTACAACTTGCTATTTTTGCATAGCCACTATATCACCCCTCCCTATCATCGGTGATGTTCGCAAGGTAATTGCAAAATGTGCAATCATGATCATAATCATAGATGATTTCTTTGATGAGAAGGCTTCCTTGGACGAATTACACAGGCCTACAAATGTCATTATGAGGTATTGAATAATTCTAGAATGAGAAAATTACTCACTTTTTTTTTTTGAATTCCTTCATCATTTACTTGATTTGTTTCAAATAATAGGTGGAATATAGATAGCTTATCGGGTACAAGTAGTATCATCTTCAATGCCTTAGACAAACTTGTTGATAAAATTGCTCACCATAATCTTTATGTTAAGGGAGTGCTTCAAGATATTGTAAGTTCTTTATCTCTAATTCGCTAAACATTTACATTTTTTTTTCTTTACACAAGTTGGGGTTAATGTGCATTTTTCTGTGAAGTGGTATGAAACTTTAGACTCATGGCTAATAGAAGCAATGTGGAGCAAAAACAAATATTTTCCATCAATTCAAGAGTACCTACCCAAAAATCTAGAGTAATTGAGCAGCTTGTTAAAATCATCAAGGTTGATTTGATGACATCAATTTTAAATAGCAAAGTGGCTGCTGAGAACAGAGAATGAATCATGTCTTTATAATCCTACATGTTCCAGGTTTTTGCTTGTTGTTGCTGGGAAGAACCTCTTACACAAAATGTTGTTCATTTTCTTAGTTAACTCAAACTATGAGTTTCTTTGATGTACATAATCTTCTAAAAGGTTGAATGAATGAATAAAGATTTTCATTTACTAAAAAAAAAAAAAAATCAAGATACCTACAAGTCGGTATGGTCTCTATTGCTGTCAAAACAATGATTCTCTCCGCTTCATTTCTGATGTCTCCAAATTATCTACTCTATTTCACAAAATATGAGCACAGTGCAATTACCACAATGCTCATGATTTCGTGTCGATTATTGAATGACACACGAAGTGTAAAACCCCGTAAATTTAAAATTTTTTATGATAAATAATGATAAATATGTTTTATACTAAAAAATAACATATTTTGATGTTTGAGTATGATAAGAATTGATTTGAGATCAATTTAATGTATATTTGTGAATATATGAGATAAGAATTGATTTGAGATCAATTTAATGTATATTTGTGAATATATGAGTGCAAATGCACAAAACATGCACGAAGAGAAATCTGGGAAAAATGACTGCAAATGCACAAAACATGCACGAAGAGAAATCTGGGAAAAATGACCAGTTAAGAGTTTCTATGTTTTACACAATTATGGAGTTGAATCTAGAAAAACTCAAAAGACCAAAGTTGTAGATCTCTTCAACAACTTTCCAAAAATCTTAAATCATCTCATTCTGAGGTCGTATGAGAAAGTTAAAGCCAAAATACCGAATGTGATTTTCCTAATCAGACTAGGTTTCCTGGTTTGGGTCAAACGGGTTTGTTTCAGGTTTGCCTCTATAAATACCTATGTTCTTCATAAAAATTCTTTTTTTATCATATCTCTAAACCATAGCAGCCGCCCTCTCCCCTCAAAACCCTAGATCTTTTTCTTATGAATTTTGAGAGCTTTGTGAAGCACAATGCCGACACGAGGGCGAGATCATCGACGTGTGGTAAGGGAGAACGTGTTGTTTGCACTTGTGGATTGATTGTTGTTTGTTTTAGAGGCTTACACATGATTTTAAGGCAAGATCCCACTTGCTCAGATCTGAATTTTTCTATTTATTATGAATTATCTTTAATTTAGATCTGTTAATAATTATATGCGTGGGATTGTTGATAAAATTGTGAATTATTTGTTTATATTAATTTGTGATATAATTATCTGTGTGGATTTGATGAATAATATTAAATAAATTGTAATTATGTGATAAATAGTATTTTCTGAATAATTATAATAGATTAAAAAAATTAATTTCGGAAGCAAAATTATTTTTGGATAATTATATTAATTAAAAGAATTTATTTGAGAACGGAATCATTTGAGGAAAAGTATGATAAATTATAAGAAGTTATTTTGGAAAAGAAATTATTTTCTGAATTACATAGTTGCTATTCATAATTTATAATTCTTAATTTTGATTATCTGATATGACATGATATTATTGCACATGATTAGTTGCATTGATTGTTCCTTGTTGTGATTGAGAATTGTTAGGAGTTTATGACTATAGTGACCTGTGTGACATGAATAAGACCTAGAGGCTTGTGTGTTGTTGACTTAGAAATACAATAGATGTTGGGGTGAGAAAGTCTCTGTTCATATAATTGGATAAGGCTATTGATATATCTTCCAGGCTCACACCAGTGGATCGGTGTCGTCACTGGGGTTGGTTTGTTAGGTCAAAGTAGATCGGTGTCGCTACTTTGGTCCGTGAATTTGATATTCACCCGAGTTTAGCTTGAGTCCGGACCAGGCTAAAAACGGATTGTGTGTAGTCCTCTGACCGAGTTTGTGTAGTGGTATTGGATACACGTAGGGTATTTGTGAACAGTCAGTTATCCGATAATATGAGCGTTGATTCTGTGTGAGATATGAACCAGTGACCTGTTATAGAATGACTAGTTACATGACCTTGTTACTTAAGGTGATTATGGATTCTTGTGAGTTGTAGGCCAGTTGTATTTCTTTTCATACATAGATCGAGATTAATATTTAATTACCTACAATTTGAGACATATGGTATATATATGAGGGTTTCCTTGTTTGGATTATTTCGCTCGATGTACTACGTCTCATGTTGTAGATTTTTAATTATTAATTCCATCTAGTTGTATGACCTTGTCACTTGGATGATTATTCTGATCGCTAGCTGCATGATCTTGTTACTTGGTTGATTTTTTTGGATTCTTCTGATTATTATATTCTAGGGATGAATTATATTTAAATTATTAGAATTTCAATATCATACTTCTATTATTATTATTACCTGTTTTTGCTTTGGTCGTTCGACCGTTTCTTTCTCCCTTGTGGGGTCTTGCCGTGTGCCATGCATACTGATGTACACCTATTTTCTCTGGTGTACGTCAGACTTAGAGGAAGAACATGTCCAGCTGGGAGATCGTCAGGAGCCAGAGGGTTCTCAGTAGGAGTGTCTTGCAGACAGAATAGAAGAAGAAGCCGAAGCTTAGTTATTAGTCATCAGTTTCCTTTTGTGCTACTTTCCATTTCCATTTGATCAGTGTATTTTTATATTCTCCAGTATTTCATTCAGATAGTTTTTGTATAAGGGCATGTTGACCCGAATATTATGTCTTGGATGATATTCATTATTTGTGATATGTATTATTTTATTTTGTGTTGTTCATTATATTCTCGCTACTGTGATCGGGGACCTGTGACTTCGTATTGTATTTATTTCTTGACGCTTAGCGTATTAGGTTGAGGAGAAATGTTTATTTTTATTTATTCTCCTTAATCTAATACGTCGCGGACTTGTTCACGTTCCGATTCCCCAGTATTTTGGGAAGCGGGGCGTGACATATCAGGTAATTCAAACATATCAATAATTAATTAAGTGAATGTTACTATTTTCAATTTTCTGACCAAAAATTATTGCAGAGAGAGATGATTTCTTTGATGAGATGGCTTCAATGGACGAATTACATTAGCAAAGAATGGATCATGGAGCTCACCAGCACGCGTGGATTCGAACGCAAGGACTGAGGCGACGACGAGAGCTGAAAACGGACACGAGATGGCGACGGACACCAGATGGCGATCGACAACAGACGACGGCGGGGAAGAAAGGAGGCGTCGACGAGAGCTGATAAGTGTCGACGGAGACGACGACGGTGAAGGCAAGGACGGAGGCGACAGACACCAGACGACGATGGACACCAGACGACTGGGAAGAAAGGGAGAATTTTGTTTTTTTAGTTAGGGCTCAGAGTTGAAAAGGGGGAAGAAGAGGACAGAGAGAGAGGTACTGGTTTAAGTGAGGGTATTGAACGGGGTATTTTATGATTTTTAACATGTTTGTGTATAAATACAAGCGCTCTACCTACTGTATTTTGAAAATTGGGTTTAAAAGCAAAAACGAAAAGATAATTAGATTTAAAAATAAAAGCAATAGTGATTGGGTTTATAGGTAAAGTTGAGTAAACAAATAAGGCTAGAAATAAAAACCCCTATAATGTATAGGATTCGGATCCTCTACACTACAAAAAAATAGTGGAGGGACCACTACATAATCACAGCCATTGATTATCTAGTTGATGGTTATGATTTTTTCTTTTAGTGCAAATTAGGAATGAGTGCAATACACGGGGGTATGGTAAATGTTAGATTTAGATTGTATCATAACCGCCTACTAAATAATCAACGCTTGAGATTAAAAGTAATGGTCTATCCACTACTTTTTTTATAGTGGAGAGGATCCAAATCCAATTAGCATACCTTAATTTTATGATTTATGAATATTGTGACGGCCTACGACTACCCGTCGGCCCTCCACCTCGACCTCGCCGGCATCGATATATGCCTCGTCGGGGACTCGGCGGCGATGAACGTCCACGGCCACGACACTACCCTTCCGATCTCCCTCGACGAGATGCTCCTCCACTGTCGTGCTGCTGCGCGTGGGGCCTCCACGCCCCTTCTTCTCGGAGATCTGCCGTTTGGCTCCTACGAGTCCTCGCCCTCCCAGGTTCCGTCGTCGGCTTAATTAAGTTGCATTATCTTAATGAATTTTATTTTATTTTTTCCATATTAATTAGACCCATTTTGTTCCTCAGCTGTATAACTATAAGTCCCTCAATCTTGAGTAATCGCGTGTCGGTTACTCAAATATTTGAAATTGCTTATTGGCCCATCAAATCATGAGGGCCCCAGCAAATTCGTCCTTACGGTAACGCGAAGTTTCCGTTTTGCCCCTCCGCCAAGTTCCCCAACTTATTTCATAGCGGATTTAGTCACAATACATGGTAAAAAAAAATGGTCCACATTCGATGAGATCATCTTCTTCAGTAATAAAAAACCACTATAATCCTATATACATCACCACCCTAGAATATAAGATTGATAATGGAGTTATAAGAGCATCTTCAAGAGTGATCTTAGGTTTTCCCTATATTTAAGGAGCAAATCTCTCATCCTAGAAAATAGGGAGCCAAATAAAGGAGCAAACGCCCAACAATGCTCTCCCCAAATGACTCCCTAAATAATTTTGGATATTTTTCACTTACCTTCTTTTGTAATACATAATTGCAACGGCTATATTATAACGATGAAGTTTTTCGTTCGTCCGGTTTTTCTAGAAAATTTATTTTTAGTTGACTCAACTGGCATGACAGATTGATTGGATTTTCATCCAATAGACCACTATCAGACAACGATCCCTAATTTAGTAGAGAAGTGTAATAATCCATCTATAAAAAAATAATACAAATTAATATCAACACTATAATTAATTTAAAAAAAATTAAAATGTAATGAAAACTAAAAAAGTCAGTTGTAAATATAAAATATGAGAGAAATAAAACAATTAAGAGATGAACTAATTTACTTACCTTTAAAGAAAAATAGTAGAATGCCAAGTGTAAAATAATTATGAAATGAACTAATTTATCCTATACAAAGATGCAATATATATAGATGAAAGGAGAATGCGGGGCTGGAATGCAAATATAGCCGTTGCAAAGTGCGGTTGTAAATATAGGGAGCCACTTTGTTGTCCTTGATTTGGAATACCAAACCATATTCCCTACATTTAGTCTCCAACATAGGGGGTATGTTGAAGCAATTTTTCTCCCTCCTACTCTTTATATTTAGTCTAAGACATGAGATAGGAAGATTGTTGGAGATGCTCTAAGTATCAATTCTAATTGGCCACACCCCACACCTTAGAAATAGCACCGACACTCTATAGAAATCCACCAAATAACTGCAGAGTAAAGACAAAGCACATTGCTTGGTTATAATCAACACTCCGCACACTTCACATTTTTTTATCAGATCACTAGTATTACTATGTATGTATGTATAAAATTATCAAAGATTTAAAGGTATATAGTAGGAAAATAAAACCCCGAAAAACGATTAACCTGAGAAAAACTCTTGCACATAATAAGAAAAATGATATTGTATACTATTGGGAGAGAAATCGGGTCCAATTCAGAGTTGATGGGTCTTAAACAGAAGTTAGGAATCAATTTTAACCCAAATGTTATACCTAACAGGTATTGACCCAAACTCCTATTTAAATTTACCACTCTTTCTTATCTTATCCACAATATTCTACGGAACTCACTAAGTTTTTGCACAACTTCACTCGTGGGCTAACCAATTCATAAACTTTAGCACCACTCCACTCGTGGGCTAACGCAGCACATAGCTATCAAACATCTGTAGGAACTTCCACCACTTCACTCATGATGGATAACTAGACTATATATATCACTTCTACGGGCATCCGTGGATTCTCCCGAGACATTCGGGCTTCACATCGAAGAATGAAGATCATCTATTTTTTTTTTTAAATTACTTGGACCATGACTTTAGCTCTAATACCATTCACATCGAAGAATGAAGATCATCTATTTTTTTTAAATTACTTGGACCATGACTTTAGCTCTAATACCATTTGTTGGGGGAGAAATCGGTCCCTACCTAGAGTTGATGGACCTTAAACAGAAGTTAAGAATCAATTTTAAGTCAAAATGTATAGCTATCAGGTATTGACCCAAACTCCTATTTAAACTTATCACTCTTTCTTTTTCTTATCCGATGTGGGACTATACTCACATATTAATCACCTCAATGTATACTCGATCGGCGTAATTTTTGTGGGTATGGAATTAATGGGGCAATTCAGGCGGTGGAGGCAGCGGTCAGAATGCTCAAAGAAGGGGGGATGGACGCGATTAAGTTGGAGGGTGGATCTCCGTCGAGGATTGCGGCGGCCATGGCCGTTGTTGATGCCGGGATTGCTGTAATGGGGCACGTCGGGCTCACACCGCAGCAGGTTAGCGTCCTTGGTGGGTTTAGAGCTCAAGGGAAGACAGTCGCCGGTGCTTTAAAGGTGGTGGTTCCTTTTTTCCCCCAGTTTTTTTATTTGCACGTATGGGAAACTCTTTATTTTGCAGATTTTGCTGAATGTTATTTCTGTATTATTTGACGTAAAATATACATTCCAAAACTAAGAAATGACAAGATACTCTGACTCCTTTAAAAAAAATAAGGATCTTCTTTTATTTTTTTTTATATTTACCATGAAGGGTCAAATAAGGAAGATGCATGTAATTAAAAAGGCAGCGTGAAAGAACATACCATTAAATAAGAACGATATGTAGATTTTGGGGATGATATGCAAATAATACATTCTGGTCACACGTAAAAAAACCCTTTTTAAAGGATAAATTAGGAGAAACCCATGTCATATATTTTTTTCCTCAAGAAACTCCTTATTCATCTAAGACCATTAGCCAATTATCAGACAGTTTTTTATTCGAACGTGTGCGTAGACGTTTGACGTATGCGTACTGTTTCACATATTTTACAGTTTGAAAGTACAGAAATAGAGAAAAAATTTAGTTGGGTAACATAATTTTTAGTTAAGTCTCTCTAATCATTAGACCAAAACTTTGAAGTTACGGTAATAGTTAATGTTTATGTTTTTACATCCTAACTTTGAAATTACTTTGAAGTTACGGTGATAATTTTTAATTAAGTCTCTCTAATTATTAGACCAAAACTTTGAAGGTACCGTGATAGTTGATGTTTATGTTTTTATATCCTAACATGTCCCCGCAGATTGAGCGCTCTTTTCTATGGCCTGAAATGACATCAAAATTTTTAAAAATCCGCATTAAACTTGTTGCCAACAAGATTCATACGTGGGTTGCTCTAATATCATTTTAAAGTAACTCTAACCACTACACCGTAACTCCAAAGTTACGAAGAGAATTGATGTTTATATTTTTATATTCTAACAATAACTAAGCAGCTATGTATATTTTTATCATTCTAAAAATTTCCACATGTATATTTATGCGTAGACGTCTAACGAAATAAACTTCATTGTAGTTCACCTTTAGTTAGTTTCTCTTCAGTGTTTTCTGAAGAGAGAGATTCGAAAAAGATTTTAAGCCTGAGAGGAGTTTATAATATGCATGAGCATGGTTCAGATAGTGGAGAGCGCGATAGCATTGCAAGAAGCAGGGTGCTTCGCGGTTGTGTTGGAGTGCGTGCCGTCGCCGGTAGTGCAACTACTTTGGCGCTTCGAGTTCCGACCATCGGAGCCGGTGCTGGTCCTTTCTGCAGTGGCCAGGTAATCGCTTCGGGATAGAATTTTCACAAACGCTTATTTTTTCTTTCCAGTATCAATCTTTCAAATATCCAGTTAACAAATTTACATAATTTAAAACGCAGGCGCTTATTTACCATGACTTGGTGGGAATGATGCAACAAGCTCATCATGCTAAGGTATAAATAACTAAGGCTTTGTTCTCATTTCCTCTTCGGTTCTATTATGATTAATATCTCATTTGTTAGCTACTAGCATATCTTTTTTTAAATTATTTATAACTAAATATTCTAGGCCTACCTCTAGCCTTCTTTGTCTTAGTAACTATAATCTTACATTTTCCCGCGATCATATTAGAAGTCCTATTGCAGAGATTACGTATACTAAGAATGAAAGAAAGAAAGAGAAGATCAGAAGTTTTTGGAGAATAGAAAAGCTAGAGTTTTTCATTAGAGAGATTGATTGATTCAAAGGGGGTGTTCATAGCGACGTCGGCATCATCTACTGCATATAATAATCTCAATTGTTAATTATCGATGTATTTTTATCTTAAATTCTTTTCAGTTCAATTTGATTCGTAGGATGAAGTGAATTGACTGAATTAGCTAGTTGTCAGTAGATTGAGTGTGAGAGTATCCGAGAGTTGTATCGTGCTCTATATCGCCGTTTGTTTTCTGGAGCCTGCAGGTCGCTCCCAGATTTTCCAAGCGATATGGAAACTCCGGGGAGGTCATACACAGGGCCCTCTCAGAGTTCAAAAATGAAGTGGAGAGCAAATCATTTCCAGGTCCCAAGCACACTCCGTACAAAATAAGTGAGGCTGATCATGTTGAGGGGTTCATGAATGAATTACAGATGATGGGTTTGAGTGAGGCCGCCTCTGCGGCTGCTTCTGTTGCCGAGATGGAGGCTGCTGCAAAAACGCAAGCTGGGGCGAAGGAGCGCATCGGTTGAGCCCCTCCTCATTAGCTAGCTAGCGCGAGTATATGCTTTGAGGAGAATTTGTGGTAAATAAGGACTTGGTGGGTGTAGAGTACGTGTGCTTCCAAGACCGTTTCTGATAAATAAATAATGTCCTTGTGCATCATGGTTGAGAAATTTGTGTTCTACATTTAAGCTTGCTAATTAATTGGCATACGAGCAGAAGCGATAACTGTATATATATGTAGACACACACATTCAATACTTAATCCAAGGAAAATTTACCCCAAGACTTTCTCTCTCCTTTAACATGATATCACAGCAAGGTTAATCTTTTGCCAAATCTTGGCATCGCTACATATAAACTATCTAAGGAACCGACACATTTGTTAGCTATAGTATAAAAGTAGTACAGACTTTTTAGCAAGGTTCATATAAACTATCCAATTATGAGTTTCTATAAACCCCACTTATCTTCTACCGTGGCCTATGAGCAGCAACAGTTTGTACTATAGTTCGCATTTTTCTTTGATCAGTGAATTGTGTTGTGCGCAGCGGAAATTTCGGAGGTATGATGTAAGACCCTATGGGCCTAAATAACAAGTTACTCTTGGAATTACTCTTATAATTATATTTACCAATCTTAGGATCAGCCGCGTAATGACGGCATACCAGGCTAAGTAAGGGCCTGGGAATGAAATTAATCCTAGAGAACACTTTCTTGGGCCTAAGTCAGACTGATGAAGTTGCCTCCTCGGACTCTCTCGCTCTCTCCCTCCAAAAAATGAAGGGAATCTTCGACCTCTTTCATGCTTATAGAGTAGATTTATTTTCTCGTATTTAATTCTTGCAATTTATTTTGTAGTTTAGATTTTGTAATTTATTTTATAGTTATATTTTATTTTCTTACACTATTCACCTTGATGCTAGAATCCTTTTGGGATTAGTTTTTATTTTCCTTTATTTTCATATTCTTTGATTCGCCTTGAGGCTAGAACCCTCTAGGGTAGTTTTTATTTTCCTTTATTTTCATATTCTTTGATTCGCCTTGAGGCTAGAACCCTCTAGGGAATTGCCTTTTCTTTTGAGGTGGTGATTCGCCTTGAGGCTAGAACCCTCTAGGGAATTGCCTTTTCTTTTGAGGTGGGTTCAATTCTAGATTTCTCATATCTTTAATTAAACCCTCATTATTTTCTTTCTTTATTTTTCCTTTTCTTTTATTTTCTTGATTTTTATTTCCTTTATTTTTCCTTTCTTTCCTTTCTTTCCTAATTGTCACACACACAACATACGAACTGATTCTAATAATTTTCTACAAACACCTTACTCGTGGGATCGATTACTTTTTATATTATAACTTGATTAATTGTGCACTTGCAATTTTTGGTATATGTTTATGCCGCATCACATAGCTTTTTGAATTCTCCTTGCTATTATTTTTGTGACGATTTTGTAAACAACATTACAGCACGATATGGGTCTAAAATCTGCTGGGGAGCTAGGATTGAGGATTTTAGGCACTAATGTAATTGATGTAGTGTAAGGATGTCAAATGGGTGGTTTTGGTTGGGCCTTGGTTTGGTCATAAATGGGTGGGCATATTTATGACCACTTGACCATTTATGACCCATTTAGCATTTGCTAAATGGGTCACTTCTCAACCACCCATTTACTAAATGGGTGGTTCATGAGTGACCCAATAGCCCATTTAGTTATGATTATGATACTTCTATATATATGTAAGTTTTAGGGATCTATTTGCAAATTTTCAGGGGGTTTTGGCAAACTTTTAGGGGGGGGTTTTGCAAACTTTTAGGGGTTTTTTTGCAAACTTTTAGGGGGTTTTCTGTAAACTTTTAGGGGGTTCTTTGTAAACTTTTAGGAGGTTTTTTGTAAACTTTCAGGGGTTTTTTTGCAAACTTTTAGGGGGTTTTCTGTAAACTTTCAGGGGGGTTTTGCAAACTTTCAGGGAGTTTTTTGTAAACTTTCAGGGGTTTTTTTGTAAAATTTCAGGGGATTTTTTGCAAAATTTTAGGGGTTTTTTGCAAACTTTCAGAGGGTTTTCTGTAAACTTTCAGGGGGTTTTCTGTAAACTTTTAGGGGTTTTCTGCAAACTTTCAGGGGGTTTGGGAAAATCTCTTTTGTGCGTCAATATCTCAACTCACTGATCGCAAATAACACTTGTTCTAATTACTCAAACTAGATTAAAGCATAAACATATAACTTTTCCCCTAACTTTCTTCCAAATTCTCATGCATTCTCCAATATCCATACGTAGCAAAAGTACCTAACATTAACATTAAATTAAGAATATGAGACGGGTTCCTCCAAAAGGAAAGTCATGTAGGCATCAAAGACCAACTATATATGCAACAGTTAAATCTTGACGAGGTACTGAAAAGATCTCACACACGCATATATCTCTTGCCAACGAAGAATTGCGAGCGCCTACTTTTTATATTTATATATCCTTGAGGGTGTTTTTTGTAATTTTTAAAAGTTTGAGGGTGTTATTTGCAAATTCAATATTTATAGGGGACTACCGAAATTTTTTAGATTTCATGTGTCATTTTCAAGTTTGAAAATTCTAAGATTGTTTTGTAGTTTTGAACTCTTGAGGGTGTTTTTTGTAATTTTTAAACTTTGAGGGTGTTTTTTGTAAATTATAAATTGACATGGGCTGCTAGTAATTTTTGGATTTCATGTGTCATTTGTAGGTTTTAAAATTTTAGGATGGTTTTGTAATTCTAAACTATGGAGGGTGTTTTTCTAAAAATTTAAAACTTTAAGGGTGTTAATTGCAAATATTAAATTTATAGGGGACTGTTGAAAATTTTTAGATTTCATGTGTCATTTGCACGTTTAGAAAACTCTAAGATTGTTTGTTAATTTTGAAGTCTTGAGGGTGTTTTTCTCATTTTCTACAAATTTTAAGGGTATTTTTTGCAAATTATAAAATTTCAGGGGGTGTTGGTAATTTTTGAATTTCATGTGTCATTTATGAGGTTAGAAAATTTTGATAGCTTTTTTATAATTTTTAACTCTTGAGGGCGTTTTTATAATATTTTAAACTTTAAAAGTGTTTTTTACAAATCTCAAAATTTTAAGGGGCGATTAGTCATTTTAAGTGTTTTCTATAATTTTTAACTTTTAAAAATAAGTTTTATAATTGTTGAAGTGAGGGTGTTTTTAGAAAAATATTCATCTAAATGGGCAAATGAGTGGATAATAACCCGCTCATTAATGACACATTTATCTTTAATAGAAACTATACCCACCCATTTATGACCCATTTAACTAAATGGGTGGGTTTGGATGGTTCATTTGGCGGGTGGGTATGGGTGGGCAATTGGTTTTGGGTCTATTTTGCCATCCCTAATGTAGTGTTATAAGTGCCAAGAAGTTTACCTGAACAGAAAAATTCCTCAATTGCCAGATATACATCTTCATTGATGACACTCCAAGCCTCCTTAAAGAACCCAACACTAAATCCATCAGGCCCAAGAGCCTTCCCCCTCTGACATTGAGAAAACAGCATGTTTAATCTCTTCTCTAGTAACAGCGCAACTCAAGTCATTGCATTGGCTATTGGTGAGAATCGAACCATTAGCAATCACACTAGGATCAGGTGCTAAAGTGGAACTTGCAGAACCAAGAAGTTTTTTGTAGTATTTAGTAAATTCATTAATGATTCCAGGCATATCAGTTATCCTAGACTCATTCTCAGAATAAATGGATAATACTCTGCGTTGGTGCCTCTTTATTTTCATGATGGAGTGAAAAAATTGAGTGACATTATCACCATGTAGTCCCCAATTAATATTTGTCTTTTGCCTATAGAAAGAGTATTCACATTCCACCAGATTGGTATATTTCTTGATACATTCTTTCTCTCTTGATATTAGTGTTGAGTCAAAGATATTATTATTCAGCTGTGTTTGAATGTCACACAATTCAGCTTTAGCTCTTGCTACTTGTTCATCGATGTTCATGAATTGTTTCTTATTTAACTCCCTTAGAGCAGGTTTAAGTTTCTTGAGCTTGTAGTGAAATCTATACATCTTGTATCCATTGATACTTTGGCCCCAGACTGATTGCACCACAGATATAAAATTAGGGTGTTTTGTCCACATATCAAAGAACTTGAAAGGATTTTCCCCCTCAAACTTCTCATCCCCTACTGTTAGTAGGACTGGTGAATGATCAGAACAAAAAGACATCAAGAACTCCACCTGATTGAAAGTATATTGTTGTATCCAATCCTCATTCACCAATACCCTATCCAGAGCTATTACCTTCTTTCTTAATGTGATCTCCAACCATTGGCTTTGATACAACTATATTTCCAGCATTGCTACCAGTCTCAACATCAACCTGCTGCACATGTCTTTTTTGCCCAGAACCCAGAGCTGAGTTTATTTGTTTGTCTTGTGCAAATCTAGCAGGCTTCTTAGCAACTGGAACCCATATCTTTTTAGTGACTTGTCTCCTACATTTCTTAGTTTCATGCCCTACCATGTTACAAAGTGAGCACCATCTTGGTTTGAGTTCATATAACACCTTCTGATTGTAACTCCTCCCATCAGGCCCTTGAATTACTATTTGATCCGGTAAAGGTTCTTTCAAATATATGTCATCTAAGGAGCGGGTCTGACAGTGCATGTTAGCATGCGATTCTTGCAGCTAACTTGCGCCCCTGCTTAGCTTTCCATGGCCAAGAAGAAGAAGAGGAGTGTGTAGGCATCAAAAAATACTGATAGATATCCAAATACAGCTCAAGACAACGAGGAGGTCATCCAAAGAGCACAAAAGATGACCTTACACTGTCTCGAAAGAATCGAGACAGTGTTAGTATAGACTGTCTCGCTGTGCGAGACAGTATAGACTGTCTCGCAGTCTTGGTCAAACCTTTAAACAGTTAGAACCAAAGCCAAAATCCCCTCTCGATTCATTCCATGAACGAGAGGTCCACAAATTGAACGATCAAACCTTTAAACAGTTAGGATCGTCTCAAAACTCTCACTTGGTCAAACCTTACTACAGTTAGGACCACAACCAACATCTCTTCTCGATTCATTCCACGAACGAGAGGTCCACTTTTAGTTGAATAGTCAAACCTTATGACAGTTAGGATTATTCAAACCTGTCCAGATTCTCTAAGTG